TTCTGTCTCGCTATCCAGCTAGCTAGCTAGCCAGCTAGCTAGCTAGCTGGCTAGCCAGCTAGCCGGCTGGCAGCAAATTCGCTTGGTAGCTCGGTAAATGGCTAAGCTGCTGGATCATCTAGCTAGCTATGCAAGGATTCAGTTAGCTAGATAGTTATCTAGCTAGCCAGCTAACTACCTAACTGGCTAGCTAGCTTGCTGGCTGTAGCTAGCTCAGGGGAGCGGCCCCACAGGTCAGCTAGCCACAGCTAGCCACCCTTGGCCGCGGCTATTTGCGACTAGAAGTAGCTAGCTAGCTGCTGCTATGCGGAGCTGTCTGTGGCTAGCTGCAGCTAGCCGTGGCTAGCTGTGGCTAGCTGTGGCTCGAGGATCCAGGCCTCATGCCTGTGAGGTGTTGGCAGATTGCCAAAAGACCTAAAATGAAGAATAAAAAGTGAAGAAATAAAAAGAATAAAAAAATACTAAATAAAGAATAAATAAAAATAAATAAATTGAGTTTAAACTTGTCTTGGACGCGTTTACTTTCGCTGTTCAGGTGTCTGCACAGCTCCCCGAGCGCAGCCCTGGGGCTTTTTGCGTGCGACTGCATGCAACTGCGTCGAATAAATAGCTAAAAATGCAAAAATAAGTTAAAAGGAATAAATAATGAAAGAATAAATTCTTTTTGTAGAAGAACGAGGGAAATCGGCGGAGTTTTGCATTATTTCTGAGGTGTACGTACACCGCGAGCAGCGGGCCGCTCGCGCCGCTGGTTTCTTTTTTCTTTCTGCGGCCGCAGAAAGCCTTCTATAGCCCTTAATGTTAATTAAATGTTTAAATTAATTAAATTAAATTAAAATTTTGAATTAATTAACCCATTTTTGCGCTCTCTTTCCACAAAAAACCATGATGCACCCCAACTCGCTGAACTTGCTCCAGACAAAATGCAAACAAGTCCTAGAGGCGCTCCTGCGGCCTCGCTACCTCGGTACGTACACCCGAATGAAGTGAAAGAAAGTATAATTAATTTAATTAAATAATTCATTTAATTAAATATAATTCATTTCATTATTTCTTTCTTTTTGTCTATTTATTTTCCCCCTTCATCTTCTCTTTCTCCATTTCCCGTTGCAGCAAACAAAAACACCTTCGTTCCACTTGACTTCCTTTTTACTTCTCATTTTATTTTCTTTTATTTTTTTATTTTTTCTTTCATCTTTTCTTTTAGTTTTTATTTTAGTTTTTGTTTCACTTTCTCTTTCATTTTTTCTTCTATCTTCTTTTGCTTTTCTTTTAGTCTTCTTTTATTTATATATTTATATTTCATTTTCTCTCATTTTTTCCTCTATATTTTCTTCATATTTTCCTCTATATTTTCTTTTTTATTTTTTTAATTTTTTCTCTTATCTTTTTTATTCTTTGGAGCGTGAAAAGCCAATGCCGAACTTCGCTCCATATGCAGCCGCGTGGTTAGGGTTTAGGGTTTAGGGTTTAGGGTTTACAGCGTCTTGCCTGAATTTAGGGTTTAGGGTTTAGGGCTTACAGCTTCCGTAGCTCGTCAATGTGCAGCCGCATGGTTCACCGTTTAGAGCGTAGGGTTTACAGCCTAGGGTTTAGGGTTTAGGGTTTAGGGTTTGTGCAGCTTTAATCCCTAAGTGGATATCAAGGGCCTCGCCAGAGGAAATGCGTCGCCTTCATTTTGTCGGCAAAATTCTCTTTTCAAATAACCACCATGTCTTCCAGCCAGCAACTCCTTCGGTGACCAAACCCTAAACCCTAAACCCTAGACCCCAAACCCTGAACGCTTAACCCTAAACCCTAAACCCTAAACCCTAAGTTCGTGCCGCTGGATCCTAAATGCTGAACTTTAAATTGCTTCAGTGTGCAACAATTGAAATAAAGTAAATATATTACATTTATACTTATAAAGATAAAAGTGAAAAGTTTAAAAGAGAAAAAGAAAGTCTTTTGCCTCGCTGCGATCGCGAGCTGTCTGTACACCTGAGCAGCGCGGGCAACAAGAGGAGAAAATAAAAAAAGACAAAGACAAAAGCAAAAACGGAAACAGAAATAAAATACATAAATTAAAAAATAAATTAAATTAAAATTAAAAATGAAATTATTATGTGCATTCAATTGTGGAAAGCCGCAGCTGTTTGTACACCCGAATGGTGCAGATACACCTGAAACGCAAATGAGCTGTCTAGACACCCGAAGAAACTGTCCTCCAGCCAAATAAAAAATAAATTTAATTTAATAAATGAAAAAATAAAAGAGATTAAATTAAAGAAAACTAAGAGTAAATTAAATTAAATGGTGGAGTTGTACAAACAAAGAAAGCAGCGGCTGTCTGTACACCCCAACAGCACTGGTGAAATGAAAAATAAGTACTTGCATTTCTCGCAAATGAATTATAATTTGGAGAATTTAATTTAAATTTCATTTTTATTCGTTTAATTTTAAATTTATTTTACTATTTAAACGAAGATGCAGAAATAGGCGGAAGCAAAAGGAAGCAGCAACAAATTCAAGCTCTTCTTCTAGCTGCTGCTGCTGCTGCTGCTGCTTTTGCTGCTGCATTTTCTGCTGGCATTGTTGCTGCTGCGTTTGCTCGTGACGTCGCTACTGCTGCCTTCGCTGCTGCTTGCTGCTGCTGCCGCTGCTCCTGCTGCTGCGTACTGCTGCTGCTGCGGCTTCTGTTGCTGCTGCTTGCTGCTGCTGCTGCGGCTGCTGCTGGGGTGTCTGCACAGCTGAACGGGCTGCCGCGGCTGATAGAACAGCCGCAGCAAAGCCTCGACAGCAATCAGTTTTTAAAAAAAGAAAAAGTTTTTGAAGAGTCTTCTTTGTTGACTCAAAGGGCCCCGAAGGGGGCCCTGGCTTTCGCGGGCACCAAGTACTTCAGCGAAGTAGGGTTTAGGGTTTAGGGTTTAGGGTTTGGCGGGGGCTGTGCGGCTGAGCGGCTGCTGGGGCTTAGGGTTTGTGCTGCTGCTGCTGCTGCTGGAGGCAGAAGCAGAGGGTTTGGGGTTTGGCTCGGCTTTTGAAACCCCCGCAGTTCGAGGGTTTAGGGTTAGGGTTTAGGGTTAGGGTTCAGGGTTTATCTGCATGCAGCAGCACGAGGGTTTAGGGTTTAGGAGTGCTAGGGTTTGCATGAGCGAGGCTGGCGCAGGCACCCTTCGCGAAGATGCTGCAGCTGCAGGCTCTGCGCAGGCAAGCCAAACCCTAAACCCTAAACCCTAAACCCTAATTCGAGGCGGTTTGGGGGTAAAACCCTAGGGAGGGTTTAGGGTTTGCGGCTCAGGCTCGAGGAGTGGCAGGCCTGCAGAGCGGACATTGCAAAGCGCTGGGAAGTCGCTGAAACCCTAGGAGAGTGAGGGTTTAGGGTTTAGGGTTTAGGGTTTGGGGGGTTTCTCTCGTGCAGAGTTTCAACGTGGGGAGCTGCAGCAAACTATTAAATGACTCTGGAAACATAAAAGAAACAAATTAAAATATTTGTTTTTCAAAATAAAAGTAAAAAATAAATAAATAAATAAAGATGATTAATTTTAAAAATAATAATTAATAAAATTAATAATAAATGAGTACTCAGAAAGTAATAAATGGCACGAGCAGCAGCAATACCAGAAGCAGCAGAAATTAAACAATTACAGTGAAGGCAGCAGCAGCAGCAGCAGCTGCTGCTGCTGCTGCTGCTGTTGCTGCTGCTGTTGCTGCTGCTGCTGCTGCTGCTGCAGCCTCTTCTCTTTTTATAATGCTGCAAGAGCGCCGTTTGAGTCCA